ATTAGTCACTCATTCGGGCTTTCATCAAAACATTCTGCCCTAAAATGCCGTGTTTCGAAGCACTAACGAAGTTGTAGTGGAGGAAGAAATTGTCGTTATCTGTCAAATCAAACATCAAATTTGTCATGAGAGACCGGAACTGTATGCAACAATTTTGACCAAAATGTGGTATATGTGCATACAATTAATAAACTGTTGGATTGATAGTAATTCAGAGTTTCAAAATTATTTTGGGAATAATTCGTGATTTGTTGTCAATTAGTCCCTTTTTAAAACTGATTGACACTTGACTGTTGGCTTCTTTTTCAAAATAAAAAAAAAACTTTAAATGATTCAAAGTTTCCAGCTCTCAGTTTTGTTCCCACGTCAGAAATATTTGCATGGATATTTTAAATGTTTGTACTTCAAGTATATATTCTTTTGTATAATAATAATATGCAAAATTAATCCTACAGCATGCCTTATGTAAACAAGCTACATGCGAACTATACTCCGACGGGTTAAAACAGGTTCGATTATGACGTCATCGTTTGAACCAGTTTCAACACTAAGATTTACCGTTTCGTAACAAATGCGACTATAATTTCGTTTCAGTTGCACCCCAAACGGTAGCTTCCTTATTGGTTGAAATAACTCAGTGCGATAAAAGTCAAGTTTAATTACAATTGCAAGTTTTACGGTTTTTTTGAAAAAATACGTATTTTCTGTTTCTGTCTGTCTGTCGTTTATCGTTCGTCTGTTGGTGATTTTATTGGACAATTATTTATAAAACTAAGGCCGTGATTACTACGAAATGTTACGCCAGCTATATCTACTTATTCGTTCCACTTAAAAATTGATGAAATCATCTCGAAATACTTCTTTATCTGTGGCTTACTAACGTACCCATACTTTTATACTTACACATACGTGTTATGGTAAAAAATGTTCATGGTCATTGGACAGAACTTCCCTCGTCCCTTGAACACAATCGAACAAATGCAGTTTTTTCCAAAATTATAAAATTAGATTTTGCTAATTTTTATTTATTTTATGATAACCCATATAAATAAAAACAAGTATAGATAATATTGTGAAAAAAAAATGGTAAAAACGTTAAAATGTGTCTGTGTTTATCCCAGTTTTTGGAAAAATATCAGAACAGTAGAGCAAAATTTTATTATTTAAATTTAAAACCGTTGAACTAATTGCTTTGAAATTTTGCACACGCTTTACTCTTATCGTGTCTTATACAAGGTAAATGGCTATTATCTCTTCCAACAATTGATGACGTCATCTCAAAGTTGGTTAACGTAAATCTCGTTTGAAATTTGGAGTATGATATAATCCGTTATTTATGGTTTAATAACTTTCATAATAGAAAAAAAAGGAACAATTATATATATAGGACTTTGAAATAAATTCGGAAAATAAAATCACATATTTCATCATTTTGTTCATTCTAATGCAAAATATGAATAAAAATCTAAAAACCCACGCCTCATTCGGTGCTATTGATCGGCATCTAGTTAACACCAACATAAAGAAAACAATTGGACTGTTTTTTCTGAATCTATTTCAAGATCGGTGATAACGTTCTAAAATAAATTATTAATTAATTTCTTTACTTTGTAAATCAACGTGATCATCAGAAAAATAACAAATAAAACATATTGAGTTATAGGAAATTCTTACATAAGTATATTATATATACGCGGTGACTTCCAAATAGATTGGGAAAAAAGTCCTTTAACTCCTCTAGTTTCAAGAAATAAATACGGAAAATATAATTAAATGTCAATGATACCCTCTAAGAAAATAGCGGGCGGGTGGGCGGGGCTAGTACTTGTTAATGTATGACTGATTTTTGCAAATGATATAAGCTCTAATAAATAGAAGGGTATATCATTTCCCAAAATCAGTCTTATCTTAGTAAGTACTAGCCCCGCCCACCCACCCTCTATTTTCTTCGTGGGTACGTCATTTGCCAAAATCAGTCTTACCTTAACAAGTATTAGCAATTTATTTACTTAGATGGTATATTATTTGAAAAAGTCAGTCTTATCTTAATAAACACTAACCCCGCCCACCCGCCCTCACGAAAATAGAGGGTAGGTGAGCAGAGCTACTACTTGCTGAGATAAGACTAATTTTGGCGATTGTATATCCTCTAAGAAAATAAAGGGTGGGTGGGAGGGGCTAGTATTTGTTGAGGTTAGACTGATTTTGGCAAATGATATAGCTTCGAAGAAAATAGAGGGCGGGTGGGCAGGGCTAGTATTTACTAAGATGAGACTGAGTTTGTCAAATGATATATCCTCTAAGAAAATAGAGGGCGGGCGGATGGAGCTAGTATTTACTAAGATGATACCGACTTTTTTAAATGATATATCCTCTAAGAAAATAGAGGGCGGGTGGGCGGGGTTAGTAATTACTAAGATGCGCGTGAATTTTTTAAATGATATATCCTTTAAAAAAATAGAAAGATATCATTTCCCAAAATCACTCTTATCTTAGTAAGTACTAGCCCCGCCCACCCGCCCTCTATTTTCTTCGTACCTATGTCATTTGTCAAAATTGATTTGATACCATCCAATAAAAACAATATACATTGTTTGAAAAAGTCAGCTTTATCTTAGTAAATTCTAACCCCGCCCACTCGCTCTCAAGAAAATAGAGGGCAGGTGAGCAGAGCTACTACTTGCTGAGATAAGACTGATTTTGGCGATTGCATATCCTCTAAGAAAATAAAGGGCGGGTGGGCGGGGCTAGTACTTGTTAAGATAAGATTGATTTTGGCAAATGATAGACCCTCTAATAAAATAGAAGGGTATATCATTTGCCAAAATCAGACTTATCTTAGCAAGTACTAGCCCCGCCCACCCGCCCTGTATTTTCTTCTAAGGTATGTGATTTGCCAAAATCAGTCTTACCTTATGAATGCAATGATACATCACAAGTAAAAACTCATCATGTTTTGCACATTTCGGGTAGATTTAGGAATTGTTTGAAAAAGTCAGTTTTACCTTAGTATGATACTAGACCCACCCATCAGCCCTTAAAAAAATAGAGGGCAGGTGGCCAGGGCTACTAGTTGCTATGATAAGACTGATTTTGGCGGTTGCATATCCTATAAGAAAATAAAGGGCGGGTGGGCGGGGCTAGTATTTGTTAAGATAAGACTGGTTTTAGCAAATGATATACCCGCTAAAAAAATAGAAGGGTATATCATTTCCCAAAATCAGTCTTTTCTTGCTAAGTACTAGCCCCGCCCACCCGCCCTCTAGTTTCTTCGTGGGTATGTCATTTGCCAAAATCAGCTTACCTTAGTAAATAGTCTAATAAATCCCGCTTCTTCGAAAAAGTATAACATATAAAGCACAACAATTGACTCAAAATTTTTGCACATTACGAATGATTGAACAAAATTTGACAATGGCGTCACACATTTGGGGGGAGAGAGGAGACAAAGTTTTATTAGAAACCATTCGGTTTATGGCTTCAGCAAGTCAAATATTGTTATACAATTTTGAGTTTTTTGCAAACATGTGGTAAAAACTCAACACGGATTCATAAATCACAAATGTAGGGGTATGTTATTTTATACAATTTAAATAACATTTACTATTGTAAATTTTGGTGATGACGTCATGCCATTGTTGGTGGGGGTGATTAGATAAATTTTGGTTGGCGTTTTCCCATCTACACGATATTCGTAACACACATTTAAAATTTAACAACAATCGGTCCAGTAGTTTCCGAGATTATCTGCCTAATAAAAATCTGGACAAACGGTAAAGAGAAACAAATAGACGGAAACTTGGAACTTATAAAACGATTTTTTTTCTGAAATTTTGCCAAAATACCATCACTGATTTATTGGTTATAAAATTTAATTGTTTATCCTCTTGAGAAAGTAATGAATGAATCAGTTAATTTTATTGACCCAACAAAAAATCTACCAAATCTTATTTTCCTAAAATTCTGGACGTACACTCTTCTTTTTTGTTTAAATATAAATGTCTACGTTTGCATTTGAAGGGTTAAAATGTTTGGTAAATTTTTATTTTCTTTTTCAGTTTGTCTTAATATAGAGTTTTTAATCCTCGTTTTAGTATTTATCCGTACAAAAATGACAGAAAAGTGAGCGGCGAAATACCATATTAATAAACACGGCGTCACCACGCTATGGGAAGAATTCGTATCGATTCAATAAGATGCAATTCGTGGAACATTCCCCAATCACGCAATATGTTAAAAAAAATGGCCTTGACGCTACAAAGTTCAGCTTGTGTAATAATATATGTATTTGATTATTAGTTAGTTTGCACAACACCCGATATAAAATATCGGTAACGCATCGTTCAAAAATTTGTTTTCACACCTTAGCATGATCATTTTTCAAGTCATGTTCTGCGCAGTTCAACATCTAAATACACATATTTCGTAAATTGTTTCATATAAAATCCTGTAAAAATCTGATACAAGGAGCGTCGACGACCGCTCCATCACTGTCACAATTTTATTCGAATAGAAACAACGAATTTACATAAATATGATATACGCAACCCGTTAAACATTACGGGGTGCCAAACAATTTCCTTTTTTTGTATTAACTAGCACAGTCTTGCAATTAAGTTCAAGCGGGTGCCGCTAAAAATAATTAAACAAGAAAGCGCCTCCCAGATTCTTTGGGAAGGAGTTGGGGGTGAGTCCTGGCCTGGAAGAGGCGTCAAGGCTTAGCCAAGCGCCCGCGGGGTTTAATGCTTGAGTGCAGAGCAAAGGTAACTTCTCGCTGAACGAATTTGCTTCACTTCGCCACGGAGCGCCGTGGAAATTGCTATGATAACCGGATTTAGCTTTTCATTTTTCTGCCACGTTGGTTTGATGATCGGCGGCAGTTGCATTTCGGTTTTATACACATTTCTCATTTCCTCTCTCTCGCTTGACTATCTTGTAATGTAATACTTTTACTTTGCGGGACTTCAGACGACGAGGTTTCTCTCGTGATATTTTGGTAAATGGTGGTAATCGAATCAGAGGTATTATCAAAAGAAGGTGGTTGTTGTATTTCAATGATCGTCTGTCTGTTGCTAGTTTCGTAAATTATCAATTTTGATATTAGCGACCGGTGTTATCAAACCGGTTTTTGTGGCTATTTGTTAGAAGATTTAGTGTGTAGGGATCAATTAGAGCCGAATGCGTCCGTTTTCACGTGTCGAGAAGGATCAGAATTAAGGGAATAAGTCTCGATCCACCTGAGGTAAGACTGATATTTCCATTCCGTCGCCTATATCCCCTGTCATAGGCTAAGACGCCTCGGCCCTTTTTTATTGTGTTTCCAATGCATTCAAAGCTGGGGAAATTTAAATGTCAACGTGGATCATTCGGTCAGAGCGAATGACGGGCTAGAGACAGAGTTGATCCCTATACAAGCAAACCATTCTTACGCGCTGTCAATCAAGCATTGTGTACAAATCCTGTTGAATTAACCCTATGAGAAGTTGCTAATCAATTTTTGGGAATCAATTGAGCGAGAGTTTTCCATAATGAGCTTAGAGCGGATTCTTGAGCGCTCGTATCTCTCAATTAGCCCGATTTGATCAGTGGCCACACTGCTAATTCAATTGGTATCCCTTGTCCAGAAATGGATCGATTTATAATCGCATTAAGAATGCTTCAAGAATCAAACGCTCCACAGGATAATGGCAAGTTTTGTTGAAAAGAATTCTCAACTGTAATTTATTCATAAAAGCTTGAATAAATCGACGTATTTGATCTACTAACGGCAAGGTAAAGCTTGTTCGCTCTGTGTTCTTTTTAACCCCCTATTCTTCCTGTTTAAAATGCCGACAAATATTTGACTTCACAGCGGAGTCATATGCTAAAGAGGGGATTATCAAGAAAGGGAAAATTCTATTACTTTTTCTCCTCAAAGAAAGAATTGCGGCTTTCTCTCTACGATCATTAAATAGTCTATAACATTAGTTAGAATTCGCCCGTGGTAGTTAGGTTTGTCTTAGGGGTTTCGTAACAGCTGTTCTTGTGTATGATTACTTTGATCGACCGCGGCAAATGAAGGTTTAAGATTTATAGCACTTTAAAATTAACGGAAGGGTTAATTTGGGGCAATTAATTTTACATTTTGGTCGACATTAAGCAGTCGCGATTACGTACGATGAAAACTTCCTGTTAATGCAACTTACATTCGTTTACAAAAATCGAATGCTAGCTACTTAAATTTACAAATAGGATAAAACTGAATTAAAATTTTGTACCCAAATAAAAATTGATTATTTTGTATCGTACAGTTAACGAAAATTGACGTCAAGTTAGTAGTCGAGGGTCGAATGTTTTATTCATTACGCATTGTAAACAAAGTTGGTTGATTTGGTTTGCATTTTTCGGTGACGATAAGGTACGGAATTGGTTTATTAAGATTTGGAAGATACTTGACAATTATTTGTAAATTTGGAACACCCTATAATTTGACCCATTCTCGATTTAATAGATTTTTTCTCTTAAATTTACAAATGGTAGTCATTTTTTCCTAAGGTGAGTGCATGCCGTCACCTCATGCTTAAACAGCTTGACGTCTTCGATTATCTTTATTTTTAAAGAACTCTGCTAGGGTCTTTGTAAAATAAAAAAACAAAAAAAATAAAGTGTCATGATATTTCGGTGATGATGTGACTACAGTACTTCTGAAATCATGTCATCCAAAAATGACATACTCGCCTCCCGAGTCGACCATCTTGATTTAATCTTAATTTTGTTTAAGTTAAAATTGTTATTTTTCTAGAATTTACAAACAATTCTAATATCTCTTTTAAATAAGCAAATTAATATTCGATGAATCCTCTTTACCTGTAATTATGATTTTACAAGCTCGTATGTTGGCAATATACGATATGACGTATGATAATTTTAATCAAATGCCTTTACTATCGTTCATAGTATTCCTGTTACATAATACTACATTTTATCTTTCGAAATAAGTAAGCAAAAATCACCTACAATTTATACTGAACTATCGTACGGCAATTAGTCGATCGTTCGGACTCGACGTCAAAGGATTTAATTTATATACGGTACCATTTTGCCGCCACTTCCGCTCTCGCGTTAAAAAGTGTCATTTAAAGAAGCGGCAAGAAGACGCTCAAGAAGGACGACGGTTGCTTTGCAGATCCGAAATAACAAAAATGTGCTAATTTCTGTGAAACAGTGAGTGTTAAGTGTGTGTGTAAAGTGAATCCTTTTGAACCAAGTTCTTCGTCAAAGAAGAGTTTTTTAATTTGAAGACGCAGCCGACGGTTTGGGCTTTACAGGTTAGGATGGATCCTAAAGAAAACTTTAACTCGGATTACCAAGTCGTAAGTATTTCAGTACATTCGACTGCATAATTTTACAATAAGGGGTACTGGAATAAATTAGTTTGAAGTAGGATTTGACTTCAATTTAACTTCTTGTGGATGCAATTCTTCAAAGCGTCACCTGAAATGTACAGTTAAACTGTCATAGTAGGGTGTGGGGCCCCATAAAATTGTAAAGCTACCTCTCAATAAACATCCTTTATGGGTTTTATTGGGTTTATCGTCTAGTTGTGCCCAAGAATTTCCTTTGTCGTCATTGTAATTTTACAGTTTTATGGGGTCTTGTTGCAAGTTTTGCTGATAAATTCATGGTAACAGTTAGTTGTAACGAAATTCTCACAGTAAATTCCCTATTAGTTACTTCTGTATGCTTTAAGAGTTTAGAAGCACCTTCAAAGTGAAATATTTAGAACACCCTTAAGTACATGGTGTGTAGATTTGCCTATGGTGTTGTAAATTTTTTTCTCCAAAGTGTACCGTGTCAAGAAATAGTGATAAAAGTTGATGGTATATCAAATTTTTAAAGATAAAAGACGACACCAAGGTTTATTTAGTCTTCCAGACTTTTCTCTTTCCTCAGTTCTACATTCTTTCCTGAAGATATCCTACAGGAAAGCGGACCAAACGTCCTCTTTCTTGATTCCCGGAATTTTTTCTACAACATTTTCAATTTTTAGCCTACAATTGAAACAGTAGTGCACGTGGAGGGGTCCGCTGAACCAGAACAAACCGCCACAAGCGAACCCGAGCAGACCGACCCTCTGGAACTGACGACAACTGATGAGCTCCCTGAAAAAGACGAACTCCTTTCGGAACTTTCGGAACTCGAACTTGCAAAGCAGCTGCAACTCATTGAGTCCATCAACTCTATTCTTCCAGTTCCTGTACCACTGGTTGAAGGAGAAGATCCGCTGTTACTAATACCGAAGATTGAAACGGTTAACGAAGATGAAGAACTTCAGCACCCGTTGGAACCCTGTCAACCGCCGGAGTTGTCGGATCATATTCAACTGCTGGAGTCCGTAAAATCGATTATTTCGATCGAGGAAAACCCTCTAGGCTCGCCTTCCACTTCGGCAGAAGAACGTATCCAGCTGGAAGAACTAGAGCAAGAAATTCAGAAGCTCAAAGCGGAAAATTTATTAGAAAACGATAACCAGCAGGAAGAAACTGAACAGCAAGAATTGGTTTCAACTGAGGAATCGGGTGATGAACCGGTTGAACTAGGTGCACTGGATCAAGTGCAAGAACCAGTTTTTTTCCCGGCGGTGCAGGAGGAGCCTATGGATCTCAGCACAAACAATTCTCGATCAAAATCATCACCAGGTGTGTATTTTTTCAGTAGTTGGTCGGTCGAGCGTTTTCTTTCTTTTCCTTTAGAAACCGAGGCTAATTTAGATGTTTTTGCTTTGTTGTCGTACTAACTTTGTATGTTTTATTTGAAGACCTACGCGTGCGAACTGTTGCAGAAGTCAACGACTGGTTGGTGAAAGTAACCAAGAAGAAGCCCATGGAGCGCAATACTTGGTATATGCCTCCCGAGCAACCGCAAAAGAAGAAGGAGAAAACGCGTAGTAAGCCGAAAAAAAAGATGGCGGTTGCTCCTCAGGAGGCAACGACCTCAAGTTGCGGAGAACAGCAAGTGGATCAACGTAGGAAGAAGGTGCCGCCGAAACCCCGGTCCGCGCAAACGACGCGCTCAGCGCCTCGTTTTCGGCAGCCAGTTCAAAGGTCGCAGATACAACAGGTGCCGGTGCACGTGCCAACACGAGAATCACGGCCCATGCCACCGCGACAAGAGCAAGTATATACTTGCCGCCAGATGATGCAAGCTACTGTCGCCCTGACGTCAGCACACGTGAACAGTAACCCATGTCCCTGCTGCAAGTTTAGAAGAATGATGGAAGCGCAGGCGCAGGCTCAAGCGCGAGCCCAAGCTCGAGCTGAAGCTGAAGCTGAAGCTCAAGCGCAAGCTGAAGCGCGGGCTCAGGCGCAAGCTCGGGCTCAAGCGCAAGCTCAAGCGGAAGCGCAAGCGCAAGCCCAGGCCCTCGCTCAAGCACAGGGGCCAACTCCAGAAAGGCGTCGGCCACCACTGCAAATGTCAGAAGTTCGATACAGGGCAGTTCAAAATTTCCAATATGAAATGTACAGCTCTAGACAACAGATGTACAATGATCTGCAAGCCAACAGAAACAGGCAGCTGGCGGATGAAGGATGGCGTTACATGTGGAACACCATGAACCAGCAATCAGCGCCACAGCAGATGCCACCACGGAATGTGGCACCAATGCCACCACGGAATGTGACACCAATGTCACCACGGAATGTAACACCAATGCCACCACGGAATGTGGCACCAATGCCACGGCAAATGCCACCACGGGATGTGACACCAATGCTACAGCAAATGCCACCACGGAATGTGGCACCAATGTTACGGCAAATGCCACCACGGGATGTGGCACCAATGCCACAGCAAATGCCACCACGGAATGTGGCACCAATGTTACGGCAAATGCCACCACGGGATGTGGCACCAATGCCACGGCAAATGCCACCACGGGATGTGGCACCACTGCCACGGCAAATGCCACCACGGGATGTGGCACCACTGCCACGGCAAATGCCACCACGGGATGTGGCACCACTGCCACGGCAAATGCCACCACGGGATGTGGCACCACTGCCACGGCAGATGCCATCACGGGAAGTAGCACCAGTGCAACGGCAGATGCCACCACAAGAAGTAGCACCAGTGCCACGGCAAGTGGCACCAGTACCACGGGAAGTGACACCAGTGCCACGGTTCCAACAGCATTTGCCACCTTTGCCACCACTGAGACCCATTCGCTGGGAGAGGCCTTTCGAACAGATCATGATGTGGGAAAACAACAACTGGGCATCGCCAGAACGCCCGGGAGGCCCCCCGGAGGTCGACCCATTGAGTCTTCCGCCTTTGAGGCCTATAAGACCCAAGAAGGCTAAACTTTAACTCTGAGAGTTCGTTTAGCAAATATTCGATTGGAGGAGCACCTGTTCTTGTTGTCTCAGGTAAGGTTTTGAAGAATGATAAGTACGGTGTAAATTTAAGGTTGATATTTTTTCAGGAGGGGCTAAGAAGGTGACTTAAGATATTCTTCGTTTTTTTAGATTAATGTTATATTTTAAATGTTTAAAATGTTTTAATTAATGTTTTTTATTAATAGTTTTAATCGTTTTATAGTTTTTATAGTTTTAGTAGTTTCAATGTATTCAGGTGATAAAAAAAGCCAAAGAAAATTTACATCTTTTTCTCTGTGGAGTTTGTTCTTAAATGAAATGCTCAAGGCGGTTCAAAAATTAGCTATATATATATATTTTATTCTTGTTTTTTCATTCTTATAATATATTTAATCTTAGAATAAGTAAAAAACCATGTAATGGTCTATAATTAGTATTTTTGTAACCAGTTGATTAATAAAATTTTTTGAATTGCATATTAAGATGTTACATATTTTTAAATTAGCCCACTTACTAAACACATATAGGTAAAAAATGATCATGTGTAGCAAAAATAACGTCGCGATTGCACATAAATGTTATCTATTACACTGTGCGTGTGAACGACACAAATTAAACCCAGGATTTGCCTACCTTTGTAAACAAGCCGATTAGTTGCAAACGTTTAAACTGATCCAGTAGAACCCATTTCGGTGGAGATTAGGGCGAAGTGAGTAAAAAGTGAAGCCACCAGGGGTCAGCGAATGTAAATACGGTGATCGATCTCTCAGGGCGGCTGTAAATAGGTAAATGGGGAGGTTGAGGATTTTGCGAGATGTCAATCCTGCTAATGATACCGCACGACCGCACCAAATTACCCCGGCGTTGTGAAGCCGGCAGAGGTGAGGGGAACCCCTGGAACCATATGGCGCCTATGAGAGTTAGTTTTCCCGTTTGTAATATTCCTAATGACGAACACACGCGCGCTCGTCTGCTGCACTGCAAGCACACGTACTGCATGAAAACGCAACTTTTCGCGCGATCGCTGGCCCCTGAGGTGAGAAACGGCCTCTATAATGAACCACTCGATCGCTGGGGGTTCACGATCGACGAGGGCTGCCTGAAATTAATAAACGATTCTAGTTCGATTGGAAAGCAAACTTCCTTTTTCTGAATCTTCTGGACCGGTCTTATTAATTTTTCTGTTGAGCAAAAAAAAAAGACAACCGAGTATGCTAATCTCCCTGTCGCACCTTGTTTCATTAAATCAGAGGGGCGGCTAGGGGGATTAAAATTCAACGAGGAGATTCGCGGGTGTTTGACACAGATACAAGTCTTGCCGTTCCTCACTGAGGAGACGGATTAAATTTTCGACTCCCAGGGAGAAGTCTATTACAAGGAAAATTAAGGGCCAGCGGCTAGGGTTACAGTTGAAGCAGTTAAAAACGCGAAATAACATTTTAATTATAGATCGCCAGAGATCGAGAACAGAGTAGTCGTTGTTAATCACGCATAAAGTCCCTTTACCGAACAGATGGAGTGATCACATGCGACTCACTTACCTATAAAGGTTTTCGGCGGGATGTTTGAAAACAGTGTGTTTTAGTTAAATTTCTTGTTTTTCAAATAACATACAGTATGATCTAAAATGTTCCTCATAAGGGGCGAGCAAGAAAAACAACATCTCAACTCTGCCCCTTTCAATAATATTAGAGTTTTAAAATATAGCGGCCATCATATTTCCCATTGTATCTACATATAATCTTTTATTTACATAATTAAAATTTTCCACCCTACGAGTTTTAAAGACATGAACACATCTTTTATATTTTAAATTGAAAATATTCAACGTCTTTCTGTTCAAATATACGTCACGGATTGATGTGTCCTACGCATGCCCAGTGCGTGCTGTAAGCGGAAGTGAATAAAGGGTTGCATTTTTTGAAAGACAAGATGTGAGTTTAAGCATTTAATTCTGAGGTACCCTTTATTGATTATGGTCAGGAATAATTAATAATTAAGTAGATGTTGCTTTAATGATGTAAAATTTACGTTTTGAGGTAATTTTGACGTGTTTAAAGTTCGTGTTCTTTGAAACGATTGGTATAATTTCCATGTGTCACCTCAATCTTTGGTTTATTTTAAAAATAATCGTTTTCTGTCAGATCTCAATAGGTGTGGTGGTAAAACCTGGTCTGAATGGACTTTTTAAGTTATAAACCATCCGCAAAAAGGATTCAAACGAGGCAAACTATTGTAATGGTCAAAAGATCGAAAAGCTCGTCGAGGTCATAAAACATGACGAGAGACGAACATATAAATGGTGTCAGCACACATAATGTTTTACAATCTACAATATATCTCAAAAACGCATAAGCCAAGCAGTTATATTACTTATATGTATGCGTATTTGTATCATAAAATAACAATGTTTAAAATGTCCTTCTTTTCAGCCAGTATTAATAAAAAAGTTGTGTGTTTATGGGAATTTTTATTTTTAGTAGGTTGGTGAACGTTTCTGGTTTCTCCAACAATAAGAAACGCTCATGAAAAGTTGGACAATTCGAGCTTCGGTTATACTAACTCTCTACATGAGAGGGTCCCTTAATCGACAAACTTAATTCATTTCAGAACTAGTCGCAGCGGTCGCACCATTGTCATTAATGCCATCGGTACACCACAAACTCCACTCGTTTCATTCCAAAGCACAAAATGCGATTTCGCGCTTTTATCAACGCAGAATGCAAAAGACGCAATTGATTGTTACACGGTGTTATTAAGGTTCAGTTTGTGTTGTCACTCGGAACTACATGTGATAAAATAATATACAAATCCCTTTCTCTCTTTGCTATGAAATGTATTTACATTTTTACCATTTTCCACCTTTAAAGGATCTCCACATCTTTTTCTCGTGCCGTCGCGACACCCTGTGCTGGGCGGACCGCAAGAGGGAAATAGAAGATCGCAAAAAAAGGGTATGTGGAGTCTGAACCATATTAAATGTGAAAGTTTGAGTTCTTTCTGTACTTTATTTCTTACTTACAAAATTAACATGTAAATCGCGACACGTCACCGTTGTAACGTAATATATACTAATACGCGCTCTACCCGTCTCTTTCTAACTCATCACCGCTAAGCCGCAACCTCTTCCGCCCCGAAAATGAAAAAACTATCAAGTTTTCGGGGATTTAAGCGCATCTACATATAGATAAGTGTCGGCTATTATCTAAACTGTCAGCAGATGCGGTCCTCAAGCGGTGCCGTAGGAAAACGGTGTGAGATAATCCTGCGGATCTCCCGTTGGGGAACCGCAGAGAGACGCGGTGTGTAAAGGATTTGTGAAATGTAATTGGTTCAGCTGGTTCAGACACGACGGAATCATCAATACCTCATCAGATTGAACGTCCAACCTGAACCCGCTGCTCTTTCGGTCAGGGTCTTTTCCGCCTCTTCCACGACTTCCGCCACCGTGTTAGCTGTGTTAGCTCTGCCACTTATCACCTACTACGACAGCCTTACCGCAGGATTGTGTGTCTGGTCTACCGTAATCTGCTCGCACGCTGGAATGTAATCCCGGATCCGCAACTGTTTCGAAGTATGCTGCGAATTGAGATGTCAGCTTTACCGTTTCGGAAACTTAAAAAAATATGCACAACAACGACAAAAACGTGCGTGTCAACGGATGCGAATTTCGTGTTTCTTAATTCCTAGAGTGTGAAAAAGTAGGTCCTCCATTTTTTACTTATACTTCTTTATAATTGCAACTAGTACGAATAAATATCATTCGATATAACGTTTAGCTTTTATGTGACGAGGGATGCAACGGAAAAGTATATATGTGCTCGGACAAGCTATAGCTTGTAAATTTGCCATTTCGTTGTGTTGGTATTGAGGTATTTACGATGTTCGGGGTGGTTAGTTGTTCATAAAAAGCGGTATGATTGTAAGTGGCTTTTGTAGACGCGGGGATAATCTTGGAAAAAATGACATAGGGATTTATAGGGCTAACAATGTTTGAAAGAGGGCGAGAATGTCCGTTCGGTGCGGCCAGTGGAGATTGGCGGCTTTAAGTGAGGCGTGTGTTGGCTGTTAAGTAGCGCAATTCACAAATCGATCATGGCAATATCGTTTCTGTAAATCTTGTCGCGTTTGGTAGAGTTGAATTTATGAGAAACAAAGAATGAAGGTCATTGGCAGCACTTTTTTGAAAAATTTCGCGTTACTTACGTTATTTATTAAAATAAAATATAGTGTGTGCTTTTATGTTGGCTGCGTCGCTCGCACTCGTGTGCAACTAGGGGGATTCGCGTTCAAGAGAAGTTCGCATCATTTATTAGTCGCGTTTATTTGATTTTGACATAATTGTGTTACGAAGCGTTTTCAACACACTCACGCTTTTTATTCGTCGAGCGTACGCTAGGGAGTTTTCCGTTTCCGTTCGTCCGTCTGTCGTCTGTCTGTCTGTCTGTCTGTCTGTCTGTCTGTCTGTCTGTCTGTGAATTAGCGATTTTGTTAGGCCGGTAATATTGGTCCAACTAATAATAATAATAATAGTATGTGAAAGTATGATTTCTGATATGTGTGTAGTTACACTTTTATGAAGTGAATGGAGCGATGTAGGTGTGACCTGTTTCCGTGTAGTTGGATTTTTGTTTGGAATTTGCTGGAGCAAACGAGAGTGTGGCAGGGAAGTGCGGAGCAACTCCTGGCTATATCCAGGATGATAATTTTGTTTGTAGAGGTATTACGTTCTCGAAGGAGGCTTTAAATATTCAAATGAGTCTATATCTATATCGGAGACATAATATGGGGGCAGTTTGCGGTAGGGTGGATGTGTGAATATGAGAACATGTGAGTGTGAAGAACAGTTTTGGAAGGAAATGGCCCGCACGCCATTGCTTCCTACCCAAGTTCAAACCGCTCTGTTAACCCTACAGCCCGGAAACAATAGCATCCAAGTTTATGTTAAGACATTTGCTACATTTTCTATGGATTTATTTTATTGCCCCCCACTCAGAGTGTTATTTTTTTCTCTTGACTCGGGTCCAAGTTGCCCAAGAATCAAAACAACAAGACGAGAGACGAATAACCCTTGCGAATTAATCACGCGAGCACTAAAACATTTTAATTTGATATTTAACATCCCTGGTCATAAATTTCAAAGATCCCGTTTTATGGAGGCCTAAACATGCCTCAATCCAAACACAAAGACGCGTAATAAAACGCAGCAACAAGCATTGCTGAAGAAATGCAAAGGAAATGGGGAACAATCACATATGATGACGGTCGGTGGTCGGCCGTCGGAGCTGCTGAAATAGGGTGTCTAAAGAGCGAGGGCGGGGGCGCGAATGATAAATGGTCAGTCATACATACAGGCGTTTAGACCCGGACTCGTTTACAAATCCGGGAAAGGATTTAGTACGCTTTAGAGGTGCGAGCAGCCGTTTGATGTTAAACACCGACTCAAATCACCAACCAAATCCCTAACGTACAAACTTGCTTTTTTTGCGCACGGAAAAACTTTAATATATGCATATTTCCTCGTAGACCTGTCACGTTTTATTTTAGAAAACAATATTTTATACCCGGTTCAAATTCTCATACATCCTGATGAATTTATACACGGCTTCGCCCGCTTCTGCATGATTTACACAAAACGCACAAAACTCTTTCATTACGCTAATTATAACCCTCTTCAACGCTCACAAAATTTACCGCTTTTTAACTTTTTACAACCACGTTCCTCCCTTCCTGGACGCGTGTGCCCGGGGATACGTGCGATCATCACTTAAATCAACTACTTTCAGGATTGACATACGAAAATTTGCATGCCCACGGTGTCGTCCTGTTGCACCGTACGCCAAGCACATTATCCGTCAACCGGCTTTTATTAAAATTACAATCGAGCGTGCATCAGACGATGATTGTTTGTCAAACCGGCTTGAATCGCCTGTTTTCCCCAAGGGCCGCAGCGTATGTCGCTCAGACGCGCACGTGAAATTCGACCTTAACTAGACATATTATTTGACACAAAATCTGTGAATTTTCGATCATAATTTGGTAATTGTATTCCGATGAGTGTATCGGTATCGGAATGTTTGTGAAGGAACGGTGTTAGATAATGTTCGGTATGGAGTGTTCCGATAATGCCGGAATGAGATAATACGCCGTCAGTGATGCAAGTTTGATGAGAATAAATTACACGTCTAAGTGTTGTAACATATGCATGGTTAATATAAATGTAATATCGAATCGGCCATATGCTGGGATCTTAAAGCTGTCAAATGGCTTTTTGTTAGTCAGATTAAAACATAATCTACGTGAAATAAAATACATCAGGTGGATTGATTCAGTAGCCTAATCTAAATTAAGTGAAATTAGTTATTAACGTAATCATTAGAGCTTGTCAAACACGTTTATGAATTGAAGTCACTTGATGGAACAATCACGAGATAAGCCTTTTTATATATGCTTATAATTTTTTAATATGATGCGGAATTTATGGAATTGGGGTCATTCCGCAATCAGTTTATGTTAATGGCGATAGTTTTGGGATAAATCCGAAATTAATAGCTTTATATACCTACCCTATGTCCGGCCGCATCAAAACTTTGTTAATATCTTGTTTTGTGGACAGCACAAGGGCGTGATGCGAAAATAAATCAACTTAGTTTCCTTTATTCAACACATCGTCATCAACTAAAATGGTCTACAAGATGGACTTTTTGCCCGTTCATTTCAAATAAATATTATTTATGGTGATAAGCTTGCTCGACTGGTAATTGAATCGAAAAAAGTGTCTGCAGCTTTTTCGGATTTTATTAAACGTCAGTGGTGTCGACATTCTCAGTTATAAGTAGACGAGTTTATCGGTATGTGCTCCATCAATAAAATTAATATAAGAACTGCCTGAATACACCAGTTTTTGCTCGCCCATCTCTGAAAATTGATGCGACCGAGCATATTATGCACGTGCAACAAAACTACCTCTGCAAAAATGAATGACAGCTGTCAAACGACCGTCCTATAGAAATACAAATTTTGCTTAAGTTCCCATTACATTTATTACTAACCGTAATTAGATAATGCCTGAACATGACGCTTCAGCTTGTTGAATTATGTCGGGATAAAAACACTGATAATATGGCCATGTATGTGTATACGGTGGCACAACTGTCTATCAATAACGCGATTAGCCTGCTGACACCATATGTTACTAAATGCATACCTGCGAACGCAGAAGCAATTTCGACCAAAATCTATCTTGTTCAAAAAGCACTAAACACAAATTCATGCGGTTTACACTACTTGATAGTTCATTGCGAAAAAGGGTTGATATGCCGCCACCACAGGTGCCACTGACGGCCCCACAATACGAATCTATCGGAATCTCACCCAATTCAAATTATCATCATCATCATTATTGTTATTGAAATTTCTTACATCGCAGCTGACTTAAAAACAATCATCTATCGATTTGCCGCTTTCAGTAAAATGATACGTGCTAGAAAAATGCTAAAAATGACTTTGGTGGCACATAGTCAACTGATTTATTTGGAGTGAGAACAAAGGAAAGTCAAATGGAAGACCTCCATGAGTGGAACAAAACCCACAACAGGATTATCCTAGCAATCAAGAGCATCACTAAGCTCTAACATCAATCAAAGAATGTTGCAGAAGATTTTTGAAAAAATGGGGCCAGTGGAGGTTTTTCTTTGAGAAGATTTCGTTAATTCATCGATTCTTTCCATTTCGTGTACAAGAGTTTGTGTGCAGACACCCAAATTCACTTTTTATTTGAATCCCCTTGTTTATATGCAACCATATAAACACGTCAATTAATCTTCAAATAAATAAGTACACTAAAAAATGTAGGCGGCAAATATCATAAGACGCATTTATAAAAATTGTGTGTTGCGTGGCCTGTGCTTGATTATTTTTCAGTATGATGTTTTTTGTTGACATCAATGACAGTTTTTTAATAGTATGGCATGATGCTGCTTGTACGACGGCAATGTAAAATCCTCTAAATTGCTTGTAACAGGTCATTTTATAGGGGCAGTTTGGTTATATGGCATGTTCTGGTAAATGATGATATAAAAATAATGTACGCTGCTTCATAAATTGTGTGGGGTATCCAGCTATCCACAGGTAATGCCATTGTGTCTGTAGCAGCGTTATAAGAACATAAGCTTTCATAAGGGCGACACACGCTCTTAAATAATATGGCAGTTCGCAGCGAGGGGCATTTTATGAAGATATTAATTTTCAAATTGTCGACTAGTGTTACAGTTATTATACTTACAAAGTAATAACTGGCTGTAAGATTACGAAAAGGCTGTAGAGCGCCTAAATTAATTAATTAAATCTGTTATAAACACTAAGTGGGCCAGCGAGCATTTAACAACACTCGTTTGAAATTGTCTGTCTAAAGGCACGGATATAATCTAAACTTCTAAGACCTCTCGCGAACTTCGCTGCACTTCAAACTCTTATTAAAACCGTTATTGTTGATTAGCGTTCCGTCCTCAGTGAGGCATAATCGAAAATTAGAACGGCATCGAATCAAAGTGACCATTTTTCTCTTAGCAACGACCCGGTGACAATGACAATTCTTCAACCGTAGCAAGATCCCGAATCGATACCGAAGATGCACTTCCTCTACGTGTCGTTTCTGCAAAATCGGCTCTAAGTCGGGTTCGTGGAGCGCGGCCGGGTTGCGGCGGTCCGCACTTATTCGCCGTTATCAGCAGGGTGTAACGTGTAGGTGCGGGCGAGGGTCGATCGGTTCGAGTTGTAGTGTAGGTGGAATTAGTGGAGCTCCACGCGGATTAGAAGAATCGATGCGCATTTGAAAGTGTAAATCAAAGCGGGTGTTAGAGGATCGTCGAAGTTGTGCATTTAGGTCTGTGTCTTAGGGCTCGGTGTAAATTCAGCGCAACGTGATGACTTAAGCTCATTTCATCCCCTTTTAGCCGGTGCTGATTTACGTTTGGGGTACACACGGGCACGGGTCTAGTCGGGCAATTAACAAGGTTAGCCCGGCTAATCCCATGAATGATGTGCGCCTCTGACGGATCGGCGAACTCCGGCGAGCGCGACGTCGATGCCCGCAGGTGCGGCGACATGCGGGTCCCGGCCCCGGCCCTTTCTGAGCGCCAAATCCGCCAATCTGCCCCCTGTGACTATTAACATGACAAATGCTAATATATTTCACGGCTTTCGTCGGATCACGCAGATGAAACTGATATATTTTTCTATCTTAGTTTTCTTTGTTTTTGCTTACTTACGGGGCGGCGAGCCGCCGCTACGTAGCTTAAACGACTCCCGGAACTTTCAGGCTTCATTCCCAACACTCACAATGGAACAGACACGATAGACCTTTTTTTCAAAACCACTCGTAAATTGTACTATGAAGAGTCTTAAGGGAACTGGAGTGGGGAAGGCTCGTTAAGACGATCAATGTAAGGGGATGGAGATTGTAACACATCTTAGCATACCGCTAAAGACTTTCTAACTCGAAATGAAAGGGAGTTTCAACCTTCTTTGGACTCATCAGTACACCACTTTTCGTAGTTGTTATTCGAGAGTATTTATCTATAACGACCGGGAACAAACTTACATAAGTGAGTCCCAAACACTCTTCTTCTTTTTCTTCTTAGGCCTTTGGTCTATTTTCCGGTATGGTTCGTATTCGGGTATTGTGTTCTTGTCTGTAGTCTTCTTGACTTTGTGGGTTTTCCATCTCTTGTTATTCGAGTTAGTCTTTCTCATTCTGTTCACATGTTAACACCGTCTGGATCTGACACATCTGATTCTTATTTCTGCGTTGGGACCCTATCCCTTGGTATCTTGTCAAGTTATAAACCTCAATGTCTTCATTTCAGTGGTTCTAAGCATTCTTTTGCTGCAAATTTCCATGCCCTAGTAGTTGAACCTTGGGATATGTTCCAGTGTTTCCTCAAGTAAGGTAAATTCTCTCTGATGGAACCAAAGCATGTCGAAATTATAATCTACAGCTTTTCAATAAGTTGGCTAGCCTTTGAGTTAAAAACTCTTTAACGGTATAAACGAATTAAGGTTTTTCGTAAGAAAGGGATGACATGTCAAGTGTAATCCAGGGATCGGAGTTTCACTGATTTCAAAAAAAACTGTGACCCATCGAGTAACTACCGATAGCTTGTAGTCTAAAAATCTTTTTGCTTCCAGATATAGCGCTCAATAAGAAAAAAAGGGACCCGTCATGCTGTCCAATTTGTGGTATGACCATTTCGCCGGGAGACCTAGAAGCTCATTTAGGACAAGAACTGGAAGTACTATGTAAAATTAGTGGAACAGGATTGGCGGCAACGAGGAAGCGAAGGCAAGAACCTGGACGTCCACCTGCACTTCCGGGAGACAGCGGTCCTGAAGGACGCTGGGAGGTTAGTACCACTACACTATTTTCCGTTACGTTGTATAAAAAAAAACAAAAACCCGCTATATATATGTGTGTTTTTAGACTTTTCAGAGGATAAAATCGAATCGTCAAGGCCGCCTCCGAATGAAAACTCGAAAAAGGAAAATAGACGACGGATGTATGATTTGTGTAGGTCGTTTACACCGAACTCCGGAAGAAATGAACCTGCACGTCGAGCAATGCAGAAAGGTTAGTTCCCCGGCGCGACAGGTTTAACAAAGCGGTCATTTTTGAGATGGCATAACACTAAACACGGCACTTATTAATCTACAATCAATGAATTTCTATACTCACGCGCCATAAAATTTGGCTGCGATTTTGACGCGACTACGTCACGCCGTCTTTTATTCTACTTCGGTGTGTTTCAGAATTCCGTGAACGACGAAGACGAAACTGTGGACGTGGAGGGCGATTCCGAGCTCGAAGAGTGGGCTGATCATCAGCGACGAACTTCGACGTCCGCGTCAAACGCCGGTAACGGTAACAGCATTGGTAGCAGCACGGGAAGGATCACTTCCGACGCTGATAACGAAGGAGATGACGTCATCGTTGACGGAGACGAACCCGAAGAGTCGTCGTTTGGACCCTCGCAGTACACCGAAAGTGACGTTGTGATTAAAAACTCGCAAGAAAAGAATAAAAAGGAAGGGGTGCAGTCGCAAGTTGCTACTGTGAATTCAAGTGGGGATGTTGAGGTTACAATGGATATTATTGTCGAGAGTGACAGTAATGTGAGTACATCCGATGCCGAACCGAGTAGTCGGACGCAAATGCTCGAGGAATTAAGGAATCGGATTCGGCCCCTAAATACGGAGAATACGGGGGAAACGGCGACTAGTACAGAAACCGAAGACTATAAATGTTTAATATGCCTGGTAAGATTTGTGAGGTTTAATTCGTCAATAATTACTCATTAGGCGAATTTGTTTAGGAGCACTATAAGAAACCGGTTATATCGACCGTGTGCTGGCATGTGCATTGTGAGGACTGCTGGTTGCATGCCTTAGTAAGTACAGATGTTTCGCGCTCGTGTTTCGATGTCCGATTTTGACGAATTTTTGACTAAAATGTACCGTTTTTCTTACAGGGTAGTAAAAATATTTGCCCCCAGTGCAGTATGATTACAACTCCTACGGACCTCAGACGTATCTTCATGTAAGAATGAATGTGTTGGAAGGAGCTACACTTGTACGCATTTATGTAAACGCACCGTACTTCATTATGCACTATACTATAGCTTAGCTGAATTCGGCGTTTTCCGACAACATTTCTAATCCTTACCAACATATCCTACAGGATTACACTTTAAGATTACAGTTTGGTTTCGTTTGTTTGTGATATTTTGTCGATTTTGCTTTCAGAGTACTTAGGAAAAACGTAGTGAATTTTATTTTCGTTGTTGTTATTATTGACAGTTATTTGATATTAAGTGGCGAATATTTAAAAAACTAGAGACTTCAACTTCAGTAATAAATGTTGGTGGCGATTATGAACATCTACGAACGGTTCATTTGTACTTCTACTGTTGCAACCAATGTTGTTAACAACTTAAAAATTTTGTTTTGAGACTACCATAACGTTACTTTTGTTAGAGGTGTTAAACCGTAATGTTAAAATTAAAATGTTTATGTTACTAATAATAAATATATATATTTAAAAATTTGTATAATATGTCTATGTACATTATTTGTAGATATCTCTACACATAAATAAATGTCATCACTAATAACTTTGTCTGTTTACACCTTTTGCCACTCCCGAAGAATAAGCCGTAGTGAAGGTGGTCGACATTCCTTCAATACTTTTAAAAAAATATATTTACTTACCTAAGAAATAAACTGATTTAAGGTGATTGTTTTCCTACCACTAGTGAAAAAAGTCAAGATGAAACACTCTGTATTAATAGTTCGGGATTAGATTTCAATTGTGTGACAGGCGCCACCTATTGCGCTACACTGAAAGTTCCCGATAGATATGGTGGGAAACATAAGGTAAGTAAACTTTTTTTATCAAACTAATAAGAAATTTAAATTTTCCCAATATATTACTAACTTTTGTAGCAACATAAAATAACAAAACGTCAATTTTACAATCTGGTCACACTTCTTGTTTCGACAAGCTAGCAAACGAAGTAATCTAACTCGTCGTCATTTTTAATGTAAAGTAGTACACATGAAAATGACGTTGGACGTTGTATTTTCTCCGATTTGAGACAGATGGCCACATAGTATATTTTTATCATACTAGTATTATTTACCTCGATTTTAATTGATAAATTAACTACTTAACAATATTAAAAAAAAAACAAAATTAATTGACTAGCGTTTTATTTTAAATTTGCCGCCAAATAAAAAACAGATGTCTAACATAAACAGTTTATTATATTTTCTACGTTTTCATTCGATTAAAAAAGAAATGATACAGATATTTTTTTAGTTCCTAGTAAACATTACTTTTGTAAGATTTCATAATGAAAACAAACATAACAGAGCTTCTTAGACATACATCAAAAAAGTTAAAAATATTATTATCCAAGTGGGACGAAGTTGATATGAATGAGAGTGAAACCTTGCTAGATAGAGATACATTATTATGACGTTTGACAAACGTTTTCAAATCGAATCATTTTTCGATATGAGCGACCTCTGTAGATGAGAAGCTAAATTTATTTAATTTATATAAAATAATCTGTAATTTAAATATAAATTACTAGTGAGTGTATTTTATTACAGTGTTCGTGTTTTCGAAACATATATATTTCGAAAATGCTTTAATTTAAAAGAAAATTAAGACCAGGTTTAGTTTTATAGTTTTCAATAAGGCGATGGTCTTTAGAAACGACTACAGATGTCGTTGTACGAGTTTCTAAGCTTATTGGATGTCGCTGTCTCTCGCTAGTCGTTTGTTTCACCTGATTGTCAAATGTTGGCTACTCCCAAAATTCACGTGATACTATAAAAGTGTAGAACAATTTTTAGTTTTTAACCATAATGGCCTATCACAATTATTTTTTAATTTTTCTAATAGCTGTGTTCAATAGTAATTTAGCTCAATGTGCAGAATTTCTGCCTGTTTTCATGTGGGGTACAAGCAAGTAAGTTTATTTTTTTCTACTATCGTAATAAATTGCCAATATTCATTACAAAAGTCACATATAAGTCAATCATATTTGCAATATATTTCTTCTCCAAATCATCCGTTTGGATAACCTTCACAATTCCGAAATCTAAAGTCATATGACTCCTTCCAGAATGCCAGAGCATGTACCCGCGTTGCATAAAATCAGCCAAGATTCATTTAAAGATACCCTTTTAGAATATTTAAAGAGAGACCCTTACATTCTTGTGTTCACTGAAAAAAACGTAAGTACTTGGGTTATGTCATTGCAAAAATAAAAGGGGTTTTGTAGTTGAGTCCTGAAGATTTTGTTCAAAGCGACCAAAACGGGGTCCCCGTATTTACGAATATTCAACAACTGAAAAACGAAGGTAACCATGTTCGATATTTACCCTCTGTCCAAAACCCTCTTGGGGCAATAAAACAAGTTAATAAACCCATCACACAAATTTCAATCTCATCTATACTGAGTAGTACTAATGTGCCTAAAGACAATATATGGATTATCGACTTAGATGATGCTAAGGACGACGAGTCAAGATCCCATATGTTGAAACGTCACGGTAAGTAGTCAGGATGTGTTTCGGGTATGACTCGGGCGGAGATTTTAATGTACGTATTTTTGTAGATTTTGATATTGTCGCTATATATAAAGGTGTTTTGAAGCACCACGATAACGTGTTGGTTCTGTACACAGCCAACCACACCGCTTGGGTTTGTGATTGAAACTGGGGTCAAACAAGTTTTCTCGAAAGTTTTGTTTTAGGTAGCACCTGATGATGTTACTCATGGTAGATCAAGGAATTTGCTTGAAAGTGACGATACGTCAGCAGATTCTACCTCGCCGGTTGTTTTCAATACAACTGATACTTTATTGTACTTGAGTTACGACGGCGCTGTTTGGACTGGTGAACAAATGTAGACCATTTTCGCGGTTATTTAACACATATATGTATTTTTGTTTTTTTCAGTGTTAATGTTAGTAAAGCTTTTAAACTCACGGGGGCATCAAATGATGGTAATGTTTCCTTAAAGCTGACAAATGATAAAGTGACTATAGAGTAAGTGAAACAGTTACGCCAACGTTGTCTTCCATTTTTGATTTTTTAGAATTCTCGTTACACAAAAGCAGGGTTACTGGTACGTGAATAACATAACTGTAGATGGTCACAACTTGGTAGTGGGTGCAAACATCTATGCACCTGTTGGGTTTTCCTACCATTGTACAACTTCCAACTTCACAACTAAACCAGATACAGCCGGCAAAGTCGACGCCTTTTTGACGTTGCCAGGATTTCAAGTAACCGTGAAATTGAGTAAAACTATTGCAACAGTTTTGTTTTTCTAGATTCAAACTTTTATGAATAACACTGAGAGTTTTGGAGATGCTTATGACTGCGTTGGATTTACGTCGATTCCCATTTGGTCGGGTTTGTTTGTAACCGCCATCTTACTTTTCATTATAACCTTCGGGCTGACGATGATGATGGATATTAAAACCATGGATAGATTTGATGACCCGAAAGGAAAAACTATTACTGTTACCGCTTCTGAATAATCCTAGGCGGTTATTGTGTGTTGGTCGCAACATCCAATAATCGCCGTTTAGTTACGTCTTCCAAAGTATTGCACCTGAACAGAAAAATTTTTGATGGTTCTTGTGATAAAACTCCATTGATTTCAGTCTGCCATCCATTTTCTGTCAGGTTGGCAATAATGGAACTGCCATGTGGCTTGTCTTCAAATTTTTTAGGACCTAAAGCTTGTTATACAATGAAGTACTCCACCAATGCGTAAATAACGAATTAGTGTCCTGTAGATCAGAAGACCTAATTTATATACACAATTTATATATGTATATGACAATAGTATTTTTAACAGGTTTTGAAATTTCATATAAGTGGTAAATTGTTGTTCAGGTAGATGTACAAGTACAATAATTTGTTAACTAAAGTAGCCTTGACGTTGTTATTGTATAAGATAAGCTTTGTAGGTTTGCACATAAGGCAAACTGTATATACCCCAAAATTGTCTTATTTGTTGAATATGTTTGTAAATAGTATATATTTTGTAGCCCTGTTATTGTATAGTATTATACTTTAAAAGTGACCTTAGTCTTTAGTTCTATTTCATTCCAAAAATTTCATAGTATTTTTAGAACGAAAACGAACTTCATTTCAACTAAAATGACTCAGTCGCGTTAAGTTAAACGGTGATGGGCTGTTTGTAAATATGTAACGTAGATTTTATAAGTACATTGTTTGGGTTCGCATGCCAAAAATGTAGAAAGTATCGTCGATAAGATAATGTAGGCGACAGGGGCCTACTTTACCACACTGTAATATAATAAACCGTAGATAGTAACACTCGTTTGATTTCATAGCAACACGAATTTCAATTTAATTGCAATTTGGGTAACTTGTTTTACGTGCTTACGTCAACCTTAAAGTTTTAGTTTTTAGTGCCGTCACACGATGGCGCTGTCCGCGTGGGTCAATATACGTCAGTAATGATGGCGGAATTTGTTTAACTGTCATAACTTCCTTGGTTTGCAAATTGTCAGTAAAGTAACGAAATGTTGAATTTCTAAATATGTTGGTTCTTTCAGAATGGATCCTAACGGAAATGGCAAGCGGGGCTTACCTAGGTTAAGAGAAATAATTAGAAGACAGCGTCAAGATTCCGATGTAAGTCTCAAATTGTTAATAACAAACAACTCTTAGGTTAATCCTTCCGGACACTCTTTACAGAAAACCATGTTTTGTTTTTACCCTCGTTTTCCCACCCTCAATCAAGCATTCTTTCAGATTTTCGAAATTTAAAAGCACGTTTTAAAAATCTCGAAAAATGGCTAGCGGCGGTGACAAACCTAGCATCCAAGAAACACTCAAACAAATTAAAGATGTCTTGAAACAAATGGAAGAAAAGCGTACCGCTCTCATGCGGACAGTTAGTGACGAGCAAATCAGACGGGTTGTTGACAACGACAACAAAGAATTTGATCTTGAAACCTTGCGCGGACCCCTCTCTCCGCCCTTTGTTAAATCACGCAAAAGGGCTACCGCTCCTGAACCTGCACCCGGACCCTCTGGGTTGTCGCCCGATCCCAAACCTTCTTCTTCCTCCTCCCAGACATGCGTAAATTTTCGTTTTCTCCGCTTCAATTGATACTAACCCATGCTATATAATTTGCTTTGTTTTTAGGGTGGTGGAACTGATTCCCCTGACCTTGAGTTTATTTACGATGACACTGACACACACCCCAATGAAATTTCCGAGTTGTACAGCTACACGGAGCAGCCAGAGCTCGCCCTCAATGTTAAAGCCTTCGAAGACCAAATGGAGCAGTATAGTTTGCCACCAAGTTGGCAAAGGTTATCGCTCGAACAAAGAAAATCGGTAGTAATGAAACTACTCGATCAACTGGAAGTTAGCAGCAAACCTCTGCGAATGAGAGGCGCCAGATGTATTCTTTACATAGCTCAGGGGTGTTGGGCAGAAATGCAGTCCGATGCTGAACAGCAGCAGTGGGCACGAGTCAATGTTATGTTGCTTTACCAATTAGGAGTTTTTAGCGCATTTACTGATTTGCTTAACATAGAAATTGAGTGAGTGTGACGTGTTTCATTGTTCTGGTGTGTAAACGTGGAGAATAAGTGAATCAACGATCATATTCATATTTTCTAACCCTACTTTTGTTTTTGATGAATGATGAAATTGTATCAAGGGTGGCTGTGGATGTCGTTTGTTAATTACGTTGCTGCCATATTGTCACAGCAAGTCACATTTTATTCAAGACCGCCTTTGATCCAGAATCATTCAGAATAGACACGTAAAATGATGTTAAAATTCACACACCTGCTTTTTGTTTGTTTATTTTGAGTGTCAATTTATAGTAATTTGAATTTTTGTGACCAGTGTTTGTTTAATCCCTTTTTCGCGATTACCTTGGTAGCCGGTAGCACGAATGAATGAATGACGTCACTTCATTTAGAATTCACTTATTGTTCATAGCCACCCATCTTCGCGCGCATTACATATACAACGAAACAATTTGCTCTTGTAGAAATAGTACAGCAGCCCACGTTGCGATGAGGAAGATCGCAGTTTCCTTAGCAGATTCTCAGGATTTGCGCGTTATTCTATCTGTGTTATACACAATAACTGAAGTAATCAGGAATGAAAAAGATTCAGGTTCAACTGAATATCAAAACGACGTTGAGGCTTTTTGTACAGACCTCGGTATTTCAGTTAAAACTAGCACCGAATTCGTACTTATTGTCACGTTTGTAGCGAATACGCCCGACGAAGAGTTGCTAATAGTCAAGTTACTAGGAATGGTAACGCGATTTTGTAGCGGAGCAGCTCCCCACTTTCCTATGAAAAAAGTGTTATTGCTTCTTTGGAAGTTGATTCTTGTTACTTTAGGGGGAATGTGCACTTTGAAAGATTTGAAGGACGAGAAACGTGCTAAAGCAGGGCTTCCACGTTTGGACGAAGACACCATGGAGATTGCCAAAACCATGAGGGCTTCGTCACCACCTGCTAGTGCCTCGGATCTGCTGGAGGCGCAGAATCAAAAGAGAAACACAAGACCCTTCAGAAGGGTAAGATTTTCCTTGGTTGTTAGGTTCTACCTGACTGTGTGAACTGTAAACAACTAACTGAACTGTTTGCATTACATTGCGATGTTTTTTGTAAATATTGCAAGAAATTAGGGGAAAAGGCGCAAATGGAAAAGCTTTTTCCTTGCAACTGTAAGTTGTGTGTGAAACTTTGTAGACTTTGTAGTGGAAATGTAGACTAACACTCGTGAATGTAAATAACGATAAAGTCACCGTGAAGTTCGTCACGTTATCTGAAACCCCTTCTGGGTCCTTCGCTTTTACGAATTAACCTGTCTGGCGAAATGTGATTGTTTTATCTAAAATTGTCTTCTCTACCTTACAAACACTATATCTTTCCGACATTCTATTTTCTGTAGGTCCCATTGCTTCCAAACCTAGATTAGTCGCTTTATTAAGGCGCGGGTAGTGTCGGTAGAGTTTGACATTGTGTGTCTATTCACTCGCCTTTTTGCTTGGACTCATTTGCAGAATTTGATGAAACAGAGCAGTTTGGACGATCACGAGTCTTTGGGCATGGAACTAGATGCTACTCTAGTCGCTAGTGACAACGGGGATGACTTGGGCGAACTGTCCGACTTCGATGAGCGCCGCCCTCCAGAAAACACGGAAAATAATCAAATGTACAGCAACTACCAGAACAGACCTTCGTCGCCACCTCTGCAGAGTTCGGTGATGATACCAAGAGGATTACCGTGGAAGCCGAAGGTGCGCCAAAAAGACATAGACTTATTTCTGGACACGGCGCGGTTGAAGTTCGTCGGGTATAGCTTGCAAGGTGACCGCGACAGCTTAGCTGGATTACCGTTACCGATTCACGAGGGAGTGAAAACACTCAAAGAGGTGGGGACGTACATTGATTGTCGTGTACAATGTGTAACTTGTGTATTGTAGCATGTTTATACTTCCTTAGCTGAAATGCAAATCCAGAAGGAGGAAGAAATTGCCCGAAATCCACTCTCTACGTCCGAAGGCGAAATCGAGATGACTCCTACGGAAATTTTGTACCAGGCGATGTTGCCGAACCTACCACAGTACATGATAGCTTTACTTAAAATATTACTAGCTGCAGCTCCTACCTCAAAGGCTAAAACTGAGTCTATTAATATAATGGCTGATGTGTTGCCAGAAGAAATGCCGTAAGTTTCGCCGGACTTGACTAACCATCATTATACTCCCGTTGTTGCAGAATGACCGTTTTACAGTCAATGAAACTGGGAATCGACGTGAATAGGCACAAGGAAATTATCGTGAAAGCAGTGTCTGCGATCTTACTTTTACTTCTAAAGCACTTTAAGTTAAATCATATTTATCAGTTTGAATTTATGTCGCAACATCTAGTTTTCGCAAATTGTATACCGTTAGTTTTGAAGTTTTTTAATCAGAATATTATGGCATATGTGGGTGCCAAGAATGTGTAAGTAAAACTTGTGTATCTGAGTTACGACCTCATGTCGCCTTTTCAGGATTCCTATATTAGATTTTCCGTCATGTGTCATTGGCGATCAACCAGAATTGACAGCTGAGAGTTTAGAAATTGGAGACGCGGCACCATTTTCTTGGAGAAATATGTTTTCGTGTATTAATCTACTGAGGATTTTAAATAAATTAACAAAATGGAAGCATTCAAGGATTATGGTACTGTAACCATTGTAACACTTCGTGTGGTCAATCATGTCATTTTTTAGATGTTAGTGGTGTTCAAATCTGCTCCAATTCTAAAACGCACATTGAAAGTACGCCATGCCATGACTCAATTGTATGTTTTGAAATTATTAAAAATGCAGACAAAGTATTTAGGGCGCCAGTGGCGAAAATCCAACATGAAAACTATTAGTGCTATTTATCAGAAAGTTAGACATAGGTTAAATGATGATTGGGCATATGGAAACGGTAATGTAGAATTACTAAGTTTTTTATATCATTGACACTTTTTTGTGTAGATTTAGACGCAAGGCCGTGGGATTTCCAGGCTGAAGAATGCGCGTTACGAGCTTCTGTTGACAGATTTAATAATCGAAGATACACACAAGCAAATGTAAGATTTTCCAAACGTTAAAAAAAAAATGTCGTCTACTAAACCATGAAATTTGTTTTTGACAGTTATTTAGTGTTGCCAACTTAATTATTAAATTTCACTGGTTACTAGACGACTTTTTTTTTTTCTCGGTCATGTGGTCCTAGTTTGGTGTTTTTGCAGCAAGACAGCGAATTTGTACCTGTGGATAACTGTCTAAATAGCGTGCTTGGGACCACGTACGATCTATCAGATAGTTTTAAACAACACTATCAATTATGGTTAGAGCAAGAAGTATTTGGGAATACAATAGAGTGGGAGAAGCTCTTGTTAAACCAAAAAATATAGATATTTTGATATGGGTTTGATCTGTTTGCGGTAAATATAACTCTATCGGATACATCACTGCAATAAGGGTCATTAGTTCTCGTTGAATATGATATGTTATATTTATTGCACTTCCTGATGTGTTTGGCAGATGAATGATGAACGTACATAGATGTGAAGACAGATGGCGTTCTACTTCACTTGCTTTGTGTTTAGTGAATCTTTTCTTTCCGTTGATATTATTTCTTTATATTTTGTGTAATTCGGTCAGTTTGTACTGAAAATTCGTTGTTTAAATCCGTATGCAACAAATATTGACTTGTTACTTGTGCACCTATTTAGTGTTTTTTTGCTTGTGTATTTTTTGCATAAGGGTTTAGATTATTTTATAGGAAAAATGTTCTTAAATTGACAAAAATACTTTGTTTACTTCAGTATTTAAATATATTTGCTATATAAAGAGTTGGACTTTTATTTATCCCTCCATATTTGGCGACTGATGACAATTTCAAAAACAATTCAATGATTTGTTGTGTTATTTCGGGATCTGTAGGAGTCTGTAAACAGAAACAAGAGATGGCGCTGTGTTTCCGAAGATTTTAATTTGGTGCATATTCAAATACATCGTTATCTGCCGTAAACATCATCTCCTAATGGGTTTTTATTTTTGCAGCGAAAAATTATTCACGTATTTGCAAAAAAATCAAGTAAACATTTGATGTTTTTTTATCACTGTGTTTGACTAAAGGGGTTACTACGCGCTATATTGATACATTTGGTGATCTGGTACTGGTATTTTGTGAGAAAATAGTGGCGTTTGTTGATTGTTTGGTCAAAATTTAATACAATGAAAACACTATGAGTAAGTGCAGCCGTTTTAACATTTGATATCTATTAAAACAACCGTACTGATAATTTTACATTTTCCTGTACACCATATGTGGTCAAGATTCATAATTCATACTTTCGCGAAACACAGGACTGGCTTCAGATTGATGTGCCTCTTGGGATAGAATACAAAATTATTGCGGAGTCACAGCCAGAATCGACGGTAACCTGTAACAAATGACATCCAGATTTTAAATTAAATTACACTTAGAACTCGTTCAACAAATAGCTCTGTTGGAATTTAGTCAAAATATATATCGTTACGTATCTACTATTATATCATTAATTCAAAGCACGTTAGTTATACACCAAGTTTGTAGTTCTGATTTATTGGTCCCTAGTGTCCTTAATCGACGTATAATGGAGTTTTTAGGAAATGTTGCTAACATTTTTGAATTACGAGATTAAAAAATACACAGGTTGCGCTTGCAGTAATCATTTATTTAAAACGGAATGTACGGTTTTCAATTATTTTTAAATAAATAATTCTGTAATTTTTTATATGATACGTCAATGGTGTCATGGCAGTGATTAAATTGAACCTTTTTAATTATTTTTATTCCCGAGTGTAAGCTAGTTTGTAATTACTTTTATTAATAAACAGTACGTGAAGTTTTTCTGAAGAGCGGCACATTTATAACTTACCCGTTTTTGAAGTAGGCGGCAAACCCCGAATGGTGTGATTTCAACTCACTTATTAGTGACGTAAAAAATATGTAGAACCAATGACTGCCTCTTTCACCCGATTGTAAACTCATTATAAACCTCCTCGCTGTAAACTTGGTTGCATATTGTTTCCAGGCAAACTTCCACTTTTTCAATTTACGAAGAATGTAAAAACGAAATTTATTCAAAACTTACCCAACCGATCCGACTAAGGTTTTTTCTTACTGATTTATATGAAAATTTTGTTTCAATCTGGATGTGGGATCCGAGTGCGCTTACTAATTTTCCAACATTTCCCAAAGCATTCCTCGGAATTATTTTTAATGTCGTTTGCGTACAAATCCCTAAAGGTAAGAACTGAGACTTGTTTAAAAATAGACCAAGTTTACTGTTTAGTGGTGGACGGGGATTTATTTACAGAAGTTTATTTTTATTTACACCGTTTCTCACAACACGTCTTATCTATAACTTTATAAGTTAGGACAATAAAAATCTAACGTCGGTGGTGTTTGCACGAAGAAAGCTAAGTCCGAGTTCTAGGCGACATTTACTTTTCAAGGGTCAGCTGTTTTTACGTTTTTGTAGTAATAAAGTTACTGCAGTGAATTGCAACACTCGACTGTAATGCACATATTTAGTGCTGTGCAATATATACATTTTGTTAGCAGTATCTAAGCTTTGTTTTGCTTTGCTTTGAATTGTTCTACAAAGTCCTTCTTTTATTTCGAATCGAAATTTTTTTGTTCCTTCACGTTTCTTACTACTATTTACTCTAATTTAGTTTCACTTCGGGCACCAGTTTTTTTAAAGATGATTGAACTTTACTTAAGTTTGTTATCTCACAATTTTAATTATTATAACTTTCAAAGGTGGTTCTAGTGTTCTAGAGTGAACTGACTCTTGATGAAATTTACATATACATATATCACGTTAATGTGTATATCCCTAGCAAGTTAAGAGGTCGTTTTGAAAACTTATTTAGCGAACCTTGTTTGGTAATGGTGCGAGGGATAATAGTGTTTATACTATATCTTTAAAAATTTTTAACGTAGAATTCAATCCGTGTAGTGAGTGAATGGGAAGCGCGTCTCATTTTTGGGAGGAAAATTGAATTATTGTCGGTTCTGGGGCATGTACTGTCATATTAGGGCTTCGCCTATATTATGCATGTATACAACACTTAAATTACCCGCTCGTTATGTCGACTTAATACAATCAACCGTCTAGAAATGCTATATTCCGTGGATTTCCCCGTCGTTTCAGTTCCACTCAATCCCGGACCAATTTATTATACACCCGCCGTTCGTATTAATACCCTCAGACAAACAATTAACACCAGAATGAAACACTCGTAGGAGAGCACAAATAACAAAAGCTACCCCGAATTTCGAACAATACAAACAATGGTAGAAAAGACGGAAAATAGGTGAGCTTTCACGCCGCCGTTCACCATTCAAAAAATAATAACTTTTACAAATGGTCGTTTTAGTTGGCAGCCGATAGATTTAATCCACTTTCTCTGCGTTGCAAATTGATCGAAATGGGAAGAGTTGTGAAACAAGAAGTCATCAAAGAGGCTCTTTCTATTGGTTCCATTACGTAGTTTTTCTTTTTGGTTAGGTGGATTATGTTTCTACTTTGTGGGAAAAGAGAGCGAGCGAAGTGAATCTCGAAAAAAGCATGTAACAAGTGCCGACACAGGATCTGAACAAATGGCCCAATTGGTGTTGAAATTGCAAAGGAACATCAAGAGACTCGTTGCTTCGGATTATGTTGTAATACAAATAGATATCACCTGATGACGTATTTGGGGTGGGACCGGGAGGGACACTGACTTTATTTGGCGAACCGAGAACGATCGAACAAGGGACAAAATAATGAGGCGATGTTGGACGTGCTGGTATTTATTGAAAAGAAATTTCCATTTATACGTAATCAAAATGTATATTGGTTCCACTAACTCCGTTTTGAAACAGGAAATGGTAATTCACATCGCTTGAGGAACAGACAACTTTAATAACGATATCGTTAATAACGGAGCAGTCTGCTTTCACGTGAGTTATTGGGAAGATGACAACCGGAGGATTCGATTACACAATTGGCTGGCTTGCACACATTGCCAACACATCAAACGGATGCTGACTAATTAAAACTTTCCAACAACTAGAAGACTTTCCAGTGTACTTAGTCTGTCTTTTGAACGCCTTGACCTTCGTAAACTTTGAAATTACAGAGACGCACATCATTTTTTTTTTAAATAGAGGTCCAGACAGTTCGAATTTACTCCCGTCTACGATTTGAAACTTAAGACGATTGTTCCATCGTCGAAATCGTCTTTTCTCTTTTTTGTTCACACTAATCCTGGAAAGAAGAGTTTCGTGATTAAATTGTTGTTCATGTATGGTATAGAGTAGGACCTCTATTTTCTGCACGAGTTGGTAAGGAGTTTTTTAGTTCGGTGAGTTCAGTGGCGTGGCAGACGACGAGTTATCACGAGAGACGACGGAGTGTGGAAGACAACACAGAATTATAACAGTTATGTAGCAGTGGGAAAGTTGTCTGAGTAAATCACTTCATTGTTTCACAGGGTTTCGTCTTATTGTACGATGTAAGACTTCGCAAAATCCACATAATGAGGAAGGTCTGGACTGAACGATGTGTGTAGTGTTCCGAACAATGGTTGCATTCATGTAAGGGTGTGTAATGGAAAATGTTTCTCGAATCTGCTATAGTGAAGATGAGGATTCTTTGTTCTAATGTTATATTTCGTCCCAATTATATAAATTAGCGAATTAAGAGTGTTTTCTGCGCCTTTGCGTGCGCTTAGCCATAATTGGATGTTCCGATTACTTGTTGAGGCAGAAATTATGGTTCGAGTAGCAGTATTGTGGAAATGCTGAGGTCGAGTTTGAGGCGTGAACTGAAGTATTGATAAATAGATGGCGTAAACGCGAATCCCGGCATACCGGTGGTAAACGGACGGACGTATTCATGCAGATGGTTGTCCCTAAAAAGACGAAATCTGTCGGAGCTGTAGGGATTAGGTTGTTAATTTGGGTTGGTATTTGAAGCTTCGGAATGAAAGTATGGCCCGAACCAGTAATAAAATATTTACGGTGGAATTGTGGTGTTTGGCATTTCGCTTGACGTAATGCGGGACGTAAGACCGCAAAGGGTCCCGAATATTTGGAATTTAAATAAATAGGGAAGGGCGAGGCGGAAGACGAGGGCGAGAGTTCCACATCCGTCACCGGGATTACGAATTGGAGACCATCTGCGGAGAGAAGTGCGCTCTGACATTCGTTAGTTGAGCTGGGAATCGCGAGGATAAGCCAGGCCAATCTGGCCGGGAACTGTTTGTGTGATTAATGCATCCAAAGCCTATCGACTAAGACCATGGGCACACTGGTACAGCGAATAACTTCGGACGACAAATGCGCTAGCAGCGGCTTCGCCCGTCACCAACTCACCACCCCTTTTCAGAGCCGGATCCAGCCTATTCACGCTTCATCCACCCATACGCCAATTAGAAAAGTTAGACCCCGGACACAAACTCCATTACCGACTGTCTCACAACTTGCACTATTACACGTAACAAACGTAAAATGACCAATAGAACCACCACACCCTTATGACAAGTGTAAAACACCTATTCTGTTCATGCGGTGCAATATGTGTCTGAGCCCAAAATTCCAACATAGATGAGGACATAAAAAGGGTGAAGTAACAGCTTCAAAGGTTAACTTGTTGACGTAGATTTAAAAATTCTATACAATTACACGAAAGTAAGCTCTGTATGTGTAGGGGAAAGATCGAGGGGCAATAAAATTTTGAAGCAGACGCAATTTACTTTTGGTGACATTCTCCTTATTTCAGATACCTTTCTTATTTCATCTGTCTCAGCCTGT